TTAGGCTTATTTTGAGCCCCTCTTCAACATTGAAGAAGGGCTCAACACTGTTTGGGACCTATTGTATGTACGGTTCATTTGAGGCTGGTGTGACCAGACGAATCGCGCAGGTATTGTATTTTCTCCGTGTGAGACGTGGCGGGGATTGAATAAATTCTCCGCATTCTTAACTGCATGAAATGTAGTTGTTGCTTTGCATTCTTGCTTAAAACTGTTGCATCTATTTGCGAATACTTGCTTCATTACAGCTTGCTGCATTTGCATGATCATTGAGTTATGTTCGGCTTCTTGCATATCACTTTGCATTTTGCCCCCCCTGCCTGCGGGCACATCTCTGTTTACTTTGTATGTCTGTCTAAGTCTTCGACCTTGTCAAAAATGGGTCGTCTCTGGGTTTGATATTCACTCCCGTCACTTATGACTTCCGAGTTCTGTCAAAGAGGGGCAACTGTAGACACCCCATTTTTGACCAACCTTAAGACTCAGACGTCGCCAGTTGAGCACTTGGTGATATTGCATAATGTGCTCGTTCAGAAGTTTCGGAGCCGCGGCCGTGAGCCCTGCCTCCGGATTTCTGAACCCTCTTCTGTGCCTTGCCTCGGTTTGCGAACCAGACTCGGTTTTATCTGTTTCTTTTCCTGAGGGGAGGGAGAGGTCCCGTAGACCATCTCTCAGTGGCCGTGGGCTACATTTCGTGGCCGTAGGCCATTTTGCCCATTTCGAAGTCCAGTTTCCGATTTTTCGGAATCGTTGGCCTTGTGCCTCGGTTCGGGACCGCCTAACCATCTCCGTTTGCCCCGATTTGTGGTATACCTCCTATTTACTCCCTTTCGAGGGACACTGGGGTCTGAGAAACCCACTTCGTGGCCGAATGCCACTTTTGGTGCTTAACAGCCCATTTTCGGGACCCCGAACTGCGCGTTTTGGCCCCCAAACATTCGTTTTGCAACGGTTTTCGTTCATTTTTCGTGCTCAATTGTACTCTTGGAATAGATCAATATGTCGTCAATAAAAATAACTATGAATTCGTCTAGATACGGCTTAAAGACTCTGTTCATCAAGTCCATAAACGCTGCAGGAGCATTGGTCACTCCGAAAGGCATTACCAAAAATTCGTAGTGGCCATACCTTGTCCGAAAGGCAGTCTTCTCAATGTCCTCGGCTTTAACCTTCAGCTGGTGGTAGCCCAACCTAAGGTCAATCTTGGAAAAGACTCATGCCCCTTGTAATTGATCAAGCAAATCGTCAATCCTAGGCAATGGGTACTTGTTCTTGATGGTTACCTTATTAAGTTCTCTGTAATCAATGCAAAGGCGAAGCACGCCATCCTTTTTCTTAACAAATAAAACAGGTGCTCCCCACTAATGCTAGCTTGATAGCTGTTGTTGTAAGCGAACTCTACTAATGGCAAATGCACTTCCCAGCTTCCCTTGAAGTCCAATACACATAGTCTAAGCATATCTTCAAGTGTTTGAATTGTTCTCTCTGTTTGGCCATCGGTCTGGGGATGAAAAGCTGTACTAAACCCGGGCGAGCGGGGGTGCTCACGAAGTGACCTTCCCCAATCGTACCCAAGTTCCCGAGCCGAGGCAACTTTCGTGATGACGGACACGTGGCCTTTTGGCACCGAGTCAGGGTTTCCTAAATTTCCCAAAATAAAATATTTAGGTGGCGACTTTGTATCTGGCAAAGCAGTCCATGTTTGGCACTTCTTTCAGAAATCGGTTTTCTCAAAACGATTTGCCGGATTTGGACTCTTTGGTTCAGACTTAGAACCGTGACCCAAATCGAGTTCGAGCTGTAGCGAGGTCCCCCGAGGGCTTGTTACTGTCACCGCCTTCGTGCTCATCACCTACATATATATATAGAGGGGGTGAGCTTGGATACTCAGTGAATGGTATAAATAATAAAGGGATTTGCATGAATAATAGCCGAAGTCCTTTCAAAGCAATACAAGTCAAAACTCTATATAACAAGGGATGGACCTCGTCCACCTGACCAATCTTCAAAGCTTCAAGGGATGCTTACTAGCATCAACATATTACAATTGATAGCATTCCGGCAAGCATATCCACGCAGTAAATCGTCAGTGGCAAAACAAGACAAGGTAAGGGAGATATTTCAACAAGGATGCTACAAAAGTTTAGAGTCCTCTAGCACAAGGGACCTATGTTACAAAGGCCCGTAGCCCTTTAACACGAGATTACTGCGAAAGTTTAGAGTCCTCCAACACAAGGGACTTTCAAAACAAGATGTGCTGCGAAAGTTTAGAGTCCTCCAGCACAAGGGACCTTCAAACAAGATGTGCTGCGAATGTTTAGAGTCCTCCAGCACAAGGGACTTTCCGAGAAGGTAATCAAACAAGATCATGCTTGATATACAAAATAGGGACAAATATTCATGCTTAACAAATACTTTCAAAACAAAGCAAAGCAAAGTCTTTTTCAAAACATATAACATAACTTTATTAAAAATACCACTCACCTAGTTCGTCGAACGTCGGGGTCAAGGCAAGTCCAGTCCTACAAACACATAGCAAGGTCTATTGAATGCACTTCTCCAAGTCTAGATGCATTTCAAATGACCTCCGGCATTCTTCAATAACTAAGTCAGATCCAAATCA